ATTAAATAAATTACTGATGGAACAAAGCGTTTCGATTTAATTATAATTTCTCTTCCATTGGAATCTGATTTTAAATTCATAACCTGCACAGTTCAATGAATTAACGAGACATATTTCATCAGAGTCCATTGATTAAATTAAACACGTACTAAACTAATTCTGGAATATTAACGAAAGTGATCAAGATTTGGACAAAGAAATGGGCACGACGACCGCTTGAGGAGATCAATTCGGGAACCGACTGCGCGTTTACGCGTCGCAAGTGAAAGTAGTCGCAGCGTATAAGTGGGACGACGACGGCGGCATGTATTCTATGCCGGTTCAAACGTTTCAGAATTCACACGAGATCCAGATTATCATCGACGATCGTGGCGAGCTTTCACGGTGTATTTAATCACGTTTTCCAAATTTTCCCTCGCTGTTCGCTAGTTTAGAGACGCGTGACAAAACGAATCGATGGAAAATAATAAGAGAACGTTTGCAAGAAAGTCTGTTCGCCCATTACTTCCACTTATCTCTAATTACTCTAGCCTATTTTCTAATAAACGCACTTTCCCGAGTACGTTTTTCCCGCTCTCGCCGCGGTGTGCAACGAAAGTGAGCCACTTTTTATCGGAGCCGGTTCCCGAAACCCGTGCACGCTCGTAAAGCGGAGGATTTCCGGTTTATCGCCGGCTGGAAACTCGCGAGCCCGTCCAATGCGGCCGCGCCAACTTTTTATCACTCCGCGGAACTGTGCCAAGCGAAAGACGAATGGGTTTTGCGAGATAATACGGCTGGGAAAACACTGTTTCTGAGGACTCGCGATTAGGGTTTCCGGGTCAGCAATCTGGATTTCTTTTTTCAATTAATTGCTCTAACGGTTAAAGAATTTTTATACATTTTTTTTTAATATTGTAAATTAATTCTGGCAAAACTCCAGGCGTTTGGACGAAATCTTCAAATTTTTGCATAATAAAATTTGATACTCGATTCGCATTATTAATGAATGGGAAGAATTACTGTCGGGCATTAACGAGGCAACATTCCCAAAAACGTTCCCCGGCCGACCCGGCGTTCGGCAATTTCACTTTCTTCTCGCTTTCACCGTCATAACGGTACATCATTCATAATTCATCATCCCTTCGGGCAGGCATGTCGAAAAGTCTGGATTTTAAACAAAAGCGAGCGTCGTTTTAACGATGTCGGATTTTCAAAGAGATTGTTAAAACGTGGGTCGTTCGCGTAGGCTCGTCTTCAGGTATGTCAAGGAAAACGGGTGCCTGCAGAACGCATCGTTCACGGAAAACGCGTTCGAGGTGTTGGTGAATACAATAGGACGCGTACGCGGCTATAATATTTGATTAGCAGACTCGCAAGGCCGCCGAATTCTATCGAAGGACGTGAACGCGCCCATCGAACTTCAAATAAGACGATTAATTACTCACGCCAGTGAAAAGACTTTTATACAGAAATTATAGGCACTGACGTTCTCTACAAGTAAAATTCGTTGAATTTTTCTTCTAACTTTGATATTTAACGAGTTAAGTATGATTAATTGGCATTTTATAGGTCTTGAGAAAATCCGACCATCCCAGCGTCGAAATGGCGAACTTTTGACAAAAAATTTCGTTTTTCTTCAATAACTCCTAAACCGTTTGTTCTACGGGAAAATTGCATACGACCTTTCTTGTAGAGGACGTCGAGATCTACAATTTCCATGTAAAAGTGTTTAGCTAGCGTCAATATTTAACGAGTTATTGACGAAAAACAAAAAAACAGTTTTTTGCAAATTACTCATTAACTATTGAAGCTAGCGAAGAACTTTTACATGGAAATTGTAGATCTCGTCGTCCTCTACAAGAAAGGTCCTATGCAATTTTCCCGTAGAACCGACGGTTTAGGAGTTATTGACCAAAAACGAAAATTTGGAAGTAATTGAAGGGGTACCCCTTGGAAAAATCTCGGAAAAATCGAAAAATTTTTTTTGGTCAAAATTTCGTAAAATACTTCAAATAAAAGTATTAGAT